AGTAGTCTTCAAGACTTTTCTATTCCTTAAGAAGTTACCTAAAAGTAGCCAGAGAATTCGAGAATAGGAAATAATAAAATAAAGTTAAAAAAAACGAACATTTTATTGTGTAAGAAAGAAAACTTTCATTTACCAAAAGTTCAGCCTCAAGTAAAGAAATATCCTGGCTGCTTTAAGAACATTTAATCCCCTTATATAAGGAACTTATTTTTCTTTCTGTACAGAATTAATAACCCCGTGAAAAAAAATACAATTGTCGCTATTTTTCTCCTATTTTTTAAATAGTTTTTAACTGTAAATAAATTCGAAGCATTTTTAAAAAAATATTTGTTTTTAAGTAGCTAAAAAGCATTTACGTAAATGAGGATATAATATAGACTCAAATTTATGACATTCAAGAAGTAAAATATTAAATTGAAGTGTTTACAGGTATTTTAGAATTTATAAGAGACAAAATCTATTTTTATAGAGTGTGTTTGAGAAAAGACGTTTCGGTTTTTATTAATAAAGTATAGCAAATAAAAATATAGTTGTTGAACATTTTTCGAATATCGATAGTTTTCTTTTTGGTTTTTTTAAAATCTCCTATTTATGGACTTATCTATAGATATCATATAGATATTTCAAAGACAAAATGAAATGGGTTTTCTTAGATTCTAAATCTTTCAAGTTGGTTAGCAAAACTTGATTTACTGAACTTAATTTTTATTATGAAAATGTCAAATCATGCACATCTTTTTAATTCGAATTTTTCAGGCAATCATATTAGATTTTGATTCGTTATTTACAATATCTTATAATTTCAATGTAACTCTTTGATTTGGTTAAAGCTTCAAAAATTGCAATAAACAAGCATTTTTTTGAGCTGCTATGTCTCAGGGGATAGAGCGTTCGCTTTCCAAAGAAGTGAACCGGGTCTTGATCCCAGCAAAGCTGGTCGATACGAATTCCGCATCCGGCTTGCACCGACCACAGTGCTGACGTGAAATATCATCAGTGGTATCATGAGTTAGAGTGCCTCGAGGGAGGTCTTCCTCTCCATGTAATGCAAATGCGGGGTTAGTTCCATCAAAAAGTCCTCCACTATGGCACATTTCTCCCAATACTTGAACCAGGAGTTCCCTTGTCTTCTGGATTAGGTTGAAAATTACAAGGCTACGGAGTTGAACATTAGTAGTGGTAAACCCAAAAATTGAGTCGGCTATTTAACGACGGTTATAAGAAAAATAAACAAATTTTAAAGTCCTTAGTAATAGTTTGAAAAAGGTTCTCTGAAGGTTCTTTTTGCACCGAGAAAGAAAAAAAATTTTTATAACCACCACACTGTATGCTAATGACATTTCTACTAAGAAATAAATAAATTAATTAATAAATAAAAACATTATTCCAATAATTCTGGTAAATAAAACCGAAATATAGGGTATTCAAACCATTTGTTTGGTAATTTTTCCACTCATATGGTAACGGTTTAGCGGAAATTCCTATTTTCAAAACTACAGTTCTTATTACCACACACTTAGTAAAAAAATACAAAATTGAAATTAAATTTAACTAATTAAATGTTCCAGTCATGATTATGTATCATGATAAACTACCAAATTTTGTCTAATTTACCAAAAGTTAACACATATTATGAAACAATATTTTATTGTTAGTCTTACCAAACTCATTACCAAAGTTAATAACCAAGATTTCTAATGTCCCCATAGAGTCAGAAACACGTTATTATTTTGGAATAAACACGTTATAATTCACGCTATTATTCTTCATTGTTCTGGCATTATGACCATACTTTTTCCTCAGTGTAGAAAAGAAAAACAGATGTATTTATAGTAAAAAACAGGAATTCTACAAGCAAATACAGAACGTAATCCATTGAATCATGAATGCATAAACGAGGGATATTAAGTTGTGTTATTTCGTCATTTGCTACATCTCTTATTTGTAGCTTTAAGGAATTGCTGTATTTTAGTCCTAAGAAATCCATTATTAATAAACAAAAGATTTGCATTTAAAAGGACACCCCTTTGATAACGAAGTAACGAAAGTACAAAAAGATATTGCTTTTAAAAAGGGAATTTGTATTGCTATATGCATTTGTTGTTAATTATAAAAAGAATCTAAAATTAATTGCATCTGTAATTTTTTATTGAGGTTAAGAGAATCTAATTAAAAAGTACTAATCAATCTCTGATTTTCACGTGAAAATAATTAACATACTTAATTAATCACAGTCTTTCTGAATAAGACCATATTTTTTTAAATTTAAAATGCATTCTAAGAAATATTGAAGCATAATTTGATAAATTTAAGACACATAAGTTACCTGCGATACATATTAATGAATTTATTTTATTATTTAATTTATTATGATGATACATATTAATGCATTTATTTTTGTATTTTTCTATCAAATCACCAAAGTTCTTATATTTAATTGAATTAGCCTAGTAGGAAACAGTCCGTGTATTTTTTTTAACTAAACAAATGTTTTTTTTAATCAGTCCCTTGAGTTATTTGCAGTATTTTTAAATAGTTGATTATATCAGCGTCGTTAAAAACAACAAGTATCAAGCTCATTAAATTATGTTTGAAAAATATGCAGGGACTGATATCACTGATTCATCCTCTTTTCTTAGTTACTAACCTCCGAGCTGAGTTGGCTCAGGGAATAGAGTTTTCACCTCCCATGAGATGTCCCAGGTTCGAATCCCAGCTTTGGCTGGTCTATATGAATTCTGATGAGTTCTATGAGTTCTGATATCCGAATTCTGAACTCTTCTCGGCCTGCACTGATCACGGTAGTGACATGAAGTATTCTCAATTTTAGACTTATCATGGGTAAGCATTCAAATTATTTTGATGATGATTCTTCATATCACCGCATAGTTAACTAGATAACGTGAAGCAAAATATTTATTCATTGTTTGTCGTAAGAAAAAAAATGAGAGATTCAGATTAGGAATTAAAGAAAAAAAACTTTTTATTATTTTGAAGGGGACAATACTAATTGTTTTATTATTATTTTAGTTACAATTTCATTTTAGTTAAACTATATCAAAGACTTACTTCATGCACTAAAGCTATTTGTAAGAAATCTTTAATCTTCTGAATTCATTAAAATAGTATTTGGTAAATAATTGCGATCTGTTTATTTATTAACTGCAAATATTTTATAAAAAAGAAATTTAAAACTGAAAATAACATTTACATTTTAACTTCCTTCATAACTTCATCAATTTTGAAATTTCATGCCTTAAAATTAGTAAATAATTCCATCGATAAAATTAATCATATTCTTTATCATTTTCAATTATCTCGCTAATTCGTGAGTCTCTTGCGAACACTTATCCTCGTTATCCCTTAGGCTTTAACGATCTTTATAAATTTTACCAGATATGGTGTGTATTGATGACAAAACTCCAAGGCCCAACAAATTAACAACATAATCTATTTCATGCATATTCTGTAATCTGAAAACTTCCCCTTGAAAGTTTACTAAGGTCAAATAAGTTCTTTCATTAAAGTGAAAGAAGTTTCAGTTTTGATATGTCAGGAAGGCGTTTAAAATATTTTATTTGAGACTTGGTATTTCATCAAAATATTATATATATATATA